CTAACTAGAATGCTTTCATTATCAAATTTTTCCTTAAAAATGCTGCTCATGTTACAAAAACCAACGAACCCAAACTGTCTCTGGAGCTTTTGTGAAACACTCTCCCCTCCAGATTTTCTTTAGTGTCTCTTTTTTGAAAACTATGCCATAGTTGAAAAGATGATCTAAATCATAAATGCTTCTTCATGGAAAGAGTCTTCTGTGCTAAAAGGGAGTTAAATCCTTACCTGAGACTGATAAGCTGCTAAATCTCACCAAGCAGGTGGCACAGACAAATACCTACAGGCTGCCATCACCTGGCTCTTGAGTGAGCTGCAGATGGAAGGCCTGCTGCCTCCACCCCTTCCTCAATCCGTTCTGTGAGCCACTGCCCAGCTGCCTGCCATCCCTGCCTCTCCATGGCATCGAAGACTCCAGGGCAATCCTGTGGCCCAAATAAGGAACCCATGGCCCAGACATCCCCACCCAGTGCCCTTCCTCTCAGACGGGTCCAGGCTGCTCAGTGCTCCTGGTCTGTCTTCTGTCTATGTCACTGCTTAATGAATAAGGCACAATCTGTTTTTTGTTTTGTTTTGCTGTGGCTGGCCAGTATGGGGATTGGAACCCTTGACCTTGGTGTTATCAGCACCACAATCTAAGCAAATGAGCTAACTGGCCAGCCCCACAATCTGCTTTTGTACACAGATCACCTTTAACCTTCTTGCTTCCTTTCTCAGCTGGGATGTGAAATGCATAAGACAAACAGAGTAACACACCATCACAGTGCAACCTGACAAGTGCTCTACAGGTGCAAGTAGAGAGAACTCTAGACAGCATATGGAAGCGCAGCTAACTCTGTCTGGGGAACAGAAGGCAGGCAGCTCAGTCCAGGCTCAAGGTGTAACAGGGTTGCCGTGATGAGGGGGACCCTGGAAGAGGAGGGACACAGCACAAGACGGGCTGGAAGGAAAAGTAGGCCTAATCATGAGGATGTGGAGGTGTTCTCCAGATACAAGCAGAATCACTGATGGTTCGAAAGCAGGGGTGTGACCTAATCAGAGTTATATTTCAGAGCAATTGGTGGCAGTGCTGCGGAGAGGCTGGGGGAGCAGGGAGTGATCGCAGCTCCATGAGACGAGTGAGGAACACACTATGATACAGGCACCCAGCACTTGGAAGAACATGGAAGAACGTCTACTTAACATGTCTCCTTGGAAAAACAGTCTTGGTGTAAATATTTTCAAGGTTTTATTTAGTGATGGCAATTATTAAGAGCAAGGAAAGAAGCCGGATGTGTGGGCTTTCTATTGTGACGACCGTCTCAGGCCCACAAGGTGCCAGCCCCTCTGCAGAAAGGAATGACTGACAGGACAGAGAGGGCCGGCCACCAGCCCAGGTGAGCTGCAGGGTGAATGCCTGGGGTCCCAACACTTGGCTAAATACTCTCCCTCCATCCTCTTCAGGAGTTCACAGAGTTTCAGAGGGAAAGGAGCGTGGTTTTCCTGTAGTCCAAACATTCAAACTACAAATGACCCAACTCCAGACTAACTGCCCAGAACCCCAAAACCTGTTGTGAAGTTCCTTTCCTTTAAGTGTATTTATTGGTCCCCGACATCTGATGTCTTCAAACAAGGCAAGCAGACCTCGCCCTCTCCCGTATTGCTCCCAGTTGTCTTACTCTTCCCAG